TTGTGGGTGGGGGAAGCAGGCTCCCTGCTGAGCTGAGAGCCCAATGCATGCGGGCTCGATCCCAGGACCCTGGGATCGTGACCTGAGCTGAAGGCAGAGGCTTTAATCCTCTGAGCCACCCAGGAGCCCCCAAACTGCTTTCTTAAAGCAAAATGGGCCTTTTAGTGTTCTTCCTAAGGTAATTTACAAAATTAAAATAGTTGTTTATTTCCTAGTCACTAAATTAATGCATATTCCATTGTTAAATTTCAGAAAATAGAAAAACAAAGAAAAGTAACCCTTACTGTGCAACCAATATAACCACTACTTACTTTTTGGTACACAATATTTCTTCCTTGGACATACCGCACACACAGATTGTCTCTGTGCTTTCAGCCACAGCCACTGGCACCTTTAATAGTCTTAATCTTTCCTGCTGTGGGCAAACCTATTTCACCCCATGTATGAAACCTTTTGCGATTTTTTTTCCTCTGTATCCTTACAGCATTCATGTTGTATGATAATTACCTATTCGTATGTCTTTTGGACCAAGTTCCTAGGAGCAAGCTAAAGTTCTAGAACTATTAGAATAAAGCAAGAGATAGAAGAGACCAGAATGTCAGATGCACAAGTGGTTTCACACACCAGTTTGTGAACTGGGGTTCATCTATGGTGAAGTTTCTGCAAATCAGCGGAGGAATGAGAAAAGGATATATATAGTGAGTTTTCATTTACTCAAATTTATTCTTAAGGATTGTACTTTATTTTGAAATTGTCTCTTCTATTTCTTGTATGTGATGACAGTTATAGAGCAGTAGTTGTTTTCTAAATATTCTTCCTTGGAAAATAAAATATTGCTAACTTTATTTCCTACCATTTAGTTTATTTTATTTTTGAAATTTTTCTTGGTTCATGAAGTCCTAAAATCTAGCAATCACTGAGATAGAGAATGGCCACCCGTTTCAGCAGTCATAATGCTGGTGTGACCCTAATCTACTTGCTTTACTTGCTATAGGTATTTTCTGTATTCTTTCTGGATATGACTTAGCCTAAGTCTGAGGATGGATCTGAGCTTGATGGTGTTTAGAAAATACGAAGTGGTTGTAACTGGCAGATAGTACTAGGGCCAAAAATAAGATATTAGTTATTCTTTATGAAGTTTATGTAGATAAAATGAAGTTTCTGCTTGTCACTGTATTATATGAATATATGTAGATGGAATTTTGCCATCCATGGAGGTTATGTTTGTGTTAGTCTGACAAAATAATAAGTTAAGAGAATTCACTTTGAGGGATCCTGAGAGGTGGGCACTGTTAACCCTTCGGCATATATTTCCATCTCTCTCTGTAAATATGTCATGGTGGTCTTAAAATATGCTACAACTTCTTTGATGTCTTTCCCATAAAAAGATATACCTTGTGATGGACTTATGATTGATTTATACAATAGTCTATAGTGAAAGTCATCATAATCCCTATATGTGATGTCAGAGGCTAGGTCACAAAAGGCCGATTGTTAACTCTCATTAACAATCACAGCTGATCCCACCCCATCCAGTTAGCCCAGGTAGCAGTTACGTGAGTGGGGAAGCAGATTCCAGCTCTCAGCGGTTTGAGCCACCCTTCAGCCCAGTCTTGCCAGCTGAGGCCGTAGACTTGTGGACCAGAATCGTGCCATTCCTGTTCTATCTTGTCCTAGTTCCTGACTTGGAGAATCCATGGCTTTAAAAGAATTGGAAAACAAGACACAGACTGGGAGAAATATTTGCAAAAAATACATCTGATAAAGGATTGTTACCCAAAATGTATAAAGAACTTCTAAAACTCAACAATAAGAAAATAAAAACTCATTTAAAAAATGGGCCAGACACCTTAACAGACCTCACCAAAGAAGACAATACAGATGTCAAATAAGTATATACAAAGATGTTCTACATTATATCATCATGAAAATGCAAAGTAAAACAAAATGACTTAACACTACACAGAATGGCCAGAATCCAGAACACTGACAACACCAAAAGCTGGTAAAGATGTGGAGTGAAAGGATTCTCATACATTGTTAATGGGAATGCAGAATGATACAGCCACTTTGGAAGATAGTTTGTAAGTTTCTTATAAAATGAAACATACTCTTTCCATGTGATCCAGATATTGCACTTGTTACTGTTTACCTAAAGGAGCCAAAACCTTATGTCCACACAGAAACCTACACATTGAACGTTATAGCACCTTTACTCATAATTGCTAAACTTAGGAGCGACCAAGATGTCCTTCGATAGATAAATGGATTAATAAACAGTGGTACATTCAGACAATGGAATATTATTTAGCACTAAAAAGAATTGAGCCATCAAGCTATAAAAAGACTTAGAGGAAACTTAAATGAATACTACTGGGTGAAAGAAGCCAAACTGAAAAGGCTACACACTATGATTCTAACTATGTGCCATTCTGGAAAAGACAAAACTATAGAGATGGTAAAAAATATCAGTGATTGCCAGATGGGAACAAGGAAGAGATGACTAGGCAGAATATAGAGGATTTTTAGGGCAATGAAAATATTCTGTATATTATAATGATGAATAAATGTCACTGTGCTTTTGTCCAAATCCATAGAGTGTACAACACAATAATGAACCCTAAGGTAAACAGTGGACTTTGGGTGATTTTGATGTGTCGATGTAGATTCATCCTTGGTAAAAAAAGGTGCCCTTCTGGTAAACAATACAGATAATGAGAGAGGCTGTGCATGTGGTGGGACAGTGGTTGTATATGAATTCTCTGTGCCTTTTGCTCAATTTTGTTGTAAATCTGAAACTGCTCTGAGAAAACAATAAAATCTTAGAATCCTTTTAAACGATTCTGTTTGTTTTACTTCTTTTAAGGATTATGTTTGTTTTTCTTCTTTGTTTAGGGTTGTTTGTGTCTGTGCCAGGGAATAGATAACTGGAACCATGTCCTTTATATTTGTGTACACTCTACCTATTTGTAAAAGGCTTCTTGCTTAGAATGACTTTTTGCCTGGAGCTGACTTTAAGCCTAGAAAAGGCATCTAGGGTTTTCTTTTTTAGGAATATCTTTGCCTTCAGAGTCTGAGATTGTGCTAACCAATGAAAGAGTTAAGTGAGTGTTAGATTTAAAGGTTGCAAATGCAGGAAAGGGATGTGAGTAGGTCTTTACATTATGTTTAATTCTGTATGTGTCATTTTTTCCTCCTCCCCCCAAATCAGAGGGAAAATAGCCTACCATGTACCAAATGAAAGGGGAACAAAATAAAAGTGGAACAAGCTGTAATATCAAACTTTAAAATCTGAACTTTAAAACTGAGTATTTTTGCCCATTAAGTGTCAGCTTTACCTACCACATTGTTTAGGTTACATTTAAGCTTCATTGTGGTTTATTCATATTTATTACATCTGTAAGAGGTAAAGCTGTACATATGTCTATTACCAGATTTCTCATATATACCTGTATGTCTTTATATAGATTTTGACCTCATCTTAGACGTCTCTCAAGTATCTTTTTGGCTGCACTTGCAAGTTTTGGGGTTGTAACAAATATATGAAATGTGAAAATCTGTTTAACATGTTGATGTTAAAAGAAAAATGAATTATAATAGCTTGGAAAATTTTTTCAACTATTTCACGTCATTTTATTTGTTTTGTTTGGTGGTTCTTAGAATTCAGAGCAAACTATGGACTGCCACACAGTTGTGATCTGCAGTCTATTTCTGTATGGCTCAGGAGCTAAGAGCTGTTTTTACATCTTTTTTTCTTGTAGTAAAATAACAATATAATAATATGAAATTTACCATTTAACTATTTTTAAGTGGCAGTTAACAGCTCCGTGGCATTACATACATTCATATGGTGAAACTGCCACCACCAAATCCATATGTGATTTTTTCATTGTCCTAAACTGAAACTTTGTATCTATTTGACACTAACTCCCCATTTCCCTTTTCCCCTAGTTCCTGGTAATCACTATCCTACTTTCTGTCTCTTTGAATTTATTCTCCGTACTTCATGTAAGTAGAGTCATAAAGTATTTGTCCTTTTTACACCTGGCATATTTCACTTAGCATAATGTTTTTTTTTCAAGTATTTTATTTATTTATTTATTTGACAGAGATCACAAGTAGGCAGAGAGGCAGGCAGAGAGAGAGGGGGAAGCAGGCTCCCTGCTGAGCAGAGAGCCCAATGTGGGGCTTGATCCCAGGACCCTGAGACCATGACCTGAGCCAAAGGCAGAGACTTAACCACTGAGCCACCCAGGTGCCCCTAGCATAATGTTTTTAAGGTCCATTCATGTCGTAGCAGGTATCAGAACTTCTTTATTTTTTTTTTAATAAAGATTTATTTATTTATTTATTTGACACAGAGAGATCACAAGTAGGCAGAGAGGCAGGCAGAGAGAGAGGAAGGGAAGCAGGCTCCCTGCTGAGCAGAGAGCCCGATGCGGGGCTCGATCCCAGGACCCTGGGATCATGACCTGAGCCGAAGGCAGAGGCTTAACCCACTGAGCCACCCAGGCGCCCAGGTTTCCATCTTTTGCCTGTTGTGAATATTGCTGCTGTGATATTGGTGTATGTACTTTGACCTTTTAAACCTGACCATGGAGCCCCCCTTTCAATCTCCTAATGGTGTCTAGTGCTGCTGTGTACACTGGTGTATAAGGGGATATGGAGAACTGTTAGTTCAGTGAGTATAGAGTTTCAGTTTTTTAAGATGTAATGAGATTTGGAGATTGGTTGACAACAACGTGAATATACCCACTGCTTTCAACTGGCTCTTACATTTTTAGAATTGTTAAAAAATAGAACAGAAAAAGTTTGCCAACCTTTAGAGTAAATTTTAAAACTTCTTTAATGGACTGTTACTGCTGAATGAATTTCAATGTAAAGTTCCTTCATCTCTTCACTGGAGAAGTATTTAAACTTTAGTAGACTTTCTTTTTTCTTTTTCTTCTTTTTTTTTTTTTTAAAGATTTTATTTATTTATTTGACAGAGGAGAGATCACAAGTAGACAGAGAGGCAGGCAGAGAGAGAGAGAGAGGAAAGCAGGCTCCCTGCTGAGCAGAGAGCCCGATGCGAGACTCGATCCCAGGACTCTGAGAACATGACCTGAGCCGAAGGCAGCGGCTCAACCCACTGAGCCACCCAGGCGTCCCTTTAGTAGACTTTCTTATACTAAATATTTGGGGAACTCTAGTTATTTGATCCACAAACCAACATTGAAAAAATCATGGTTTTGTTTTTGTTATTAAGTAAGAGTAAGATTCACTGATTTATTATCAATATTCATTGATTTTTAAGGAATCCAGCGGTAAATTCAGAGTAATAGGGCACAAAGGTTCCCTTCTTTAGAGCCAGGATAGAGTGAAAGAAAGGCTCCACTAGGTATAACTAGGCATATAGAGGCTGGAGGCACTGTCCTTTTTACTTTTGCTCTACTTTTCTGATTCTGATCTGGGGTAAGCTATGTCTTTTGAACCCTAGTATGTCCTTAAGACAGATATTCCCAAACTTTCTTGTTTGACAGCACCATTGGAATCTCTTAATTTTTTCATGGTGTTCTTGAGCCTAAGAAAATAGTTTCATGTATTAAGTCATTAGGTCCAGACAGCCTAATCATAGACATTCTTAAAATGTCTTGCAGATGTTTCTGTGCTTCTCTCAAAAAGTTAAAATATCCCATGGTGCTTTTTGAGTTCACTC